TTGCGTTGCAACATCAAAACGCAGGTGCTCCTTGCGTTGCAGCATCAAAATGCAAAGGTCCTCCCTACGTTGCAACATTAGAATGTAGGGGTCAGACCCGTGTTTTCTGCATTTGATTGGTTCTAACAGAACTTGAACAATTTTAAAACTGTGTCTCCACTTAATGGGGTTGCGTATGCACGACTATGAGTGGATTTTTAGGGGGTGGGGTGGGGTGGGGTGTGGGGTGGCGGGGGGGGCAGATTACCACCATACTATGAGTGTTTTTAAAACCGTTCCACTAACGAATAGATTTTAGGGTCGGTTACACCCATTATGAGTGATTTTAGGGCGGTACTCTTCGGTCGCGATAAATAGCTAAAAATCAGCTTAGTTCGGATCTTTACATCTTTAAGCATTTTCAGATATAGAGATCAGCAAAAGGCTTCTTCAATCATCCGATCTTGGAACATTGGGCTGATCTTTTGGCCCTGGGTGTTCGAATATTCTCTTTGGATCTGGAGATCAATCTTTTAGAGATCGAAAAATCTAAAAGGAGACCAGCATTCATCCTTAGAGAGTTTTCATCATCAGCAACAGAGATCTTGGAGCTTAGATCTTGGCTTACTAACCGAATTTTCGATTTCAAATCAACTCTTTCACATAGTTTAAAAAAACTCGCATTGAGTTATAAAACTCGTTAAGAATTCTTTTCATACTTGCCACGCAAGTTCCATCAACCGTTCCAGTGAAGTGAGACGTTCGGATCGTCAACGAGAAGCAAACTCGATACAAACATCGAGAGATGCATCTCATCGCTACCGTGAAGAACCTAATTTTAAATAAAGGGGAGGATCTTCATCGATCCTCTTCTCTTTTGTAAATTGGGATTCCGATTGAGGAGATTGTAATTTCTTTTTCTAAGTTTATTAGAGAGAAATTGTATTGAGAACGTTATAATCATTCTTTATTTAAATCAGTTAGAGAGAATAACACATTTTTGTTCTCAATTGTCTTCTTCGAATTTTCCCACCAAACAAACATAATACTCATATGATGATCGTATGAGATCTCAACTGCGGATGTGTTAGGTCTCATGTTATGAGCCTACATCTTCTAATCTTGTTTTGATGATTACAAACAATTTCTAATATTATTTATCTAGTATTTATGTTTTCTTATTAGGTATTTAAGACAAACAATATGTTGGAGGTTGGTTGGATTGCGCCCTCACGATGATATCAAAAGGAGGTTGGTGGAATATCGGAGTGAAGCCAATGCATTCAAGTTAAGTTCAAGTTCAAGCTTCATCCACAATTAAGACGAGCTTAATGAAGATCAATTGTCTTGGGTATATTAGTTTAGGTTTATGCTTTGTGTGCTTATGCTTTAAGCTCAAATGGTGCACGTACACATTTTCTTGATTTATTGACTATTATACATACATTTGAGATAATAACGTGTTTTTGGATTATTGACTTAATATAACTGGTTTACATCTTTTATAAAGTTTATTAATCCATTTAAAAGAAGTTTCAAACTTGTTTGAACTCGTTTTGTTAAAATTAAGTTTTAATAAATTTATGTCAGTGCATGTTTTTGCAAAACAAATGAGTTTTCACAATTGGAAAATAAAATTTGAAAATTTCTTTGTTTACATGTTTATCTTTATATATACAAATATTTCCCCAATTTTTACTAATTTTGGAGTTGTTTTGTTATTTTCAATTGAATTTACAAAAACAAGTTTTCAACAGTTTTTCAGAAACTATAATATCTGTGTTCAAACAATTATTTCTCATAAATGGGAAGTAATATTTTATAAATTCTTTCTCTAACATATTTATCTACATCTTTAGAAACTTTTCTCAAAATTTCATAATTTTTATGATTGATTTATTATTTTTAATTGATTTTATAAAGTCAGCTACGTAAAAATTCCAGAATCTGTCAAAACTGTCAACGGTCGACTTCATCAATCGACTGATGACATTATTAGTCGACTGATGACATGTTTTCAGCCTATAACGTCTAGTAACGACTAGTTTTTGTTTTTGTGAGTTTTTGGGGGTTTTTGGCTGGTTTAAGAGGCTATAAAAAGCCCTCAACTTTTATTGTTTCTCATGGATGTTTATGAGAGTTTCAAAACAAGTTTACAAGTGTTTTAGTTTATTTTAAGTGTGTTTTAAAGTTTGGTTTTCAAGTGAAGAAAGTTTCACAAGAGGAGAAGATCATCCTTTGGTGTTTTGGGCTTTAATTTCACATCTCTCCATCTTGTTATCTAGAGAAATTTTCTCAACTTATTTATCTGCCTTGTTACATTTACATTATCATATTTATATTTGCTAGACTTTAATTAAGTTTGATTTTATTTTCTCATTGCTTGCACACACAACCATTGAGCTTAAGTTTTTTCACATATTGTATAATTTTGGGTTGTGGTGAGTGTAATCTTGAGAGTGAGCCTAAATTGTGTTCTCATCTATTATAGAAAATAAATCTTGTAATTGAGCCTTATTGTGAGAGTATCGCTTTGTAATACACATTTACACCAAGAGGAGTGTGTGGTGAGGACGTAGTCGATACCAAGATGAGTGACGTCGGTAGTAAAACCTAGAGAGAGGTAGTAAAGCCGAGCACTTGAGGGAGGCGATACGTAAGGACCAACACTTGAGGTTGTAGTTTGTGTATGTACATTGTAAGAGATTTGTAGAGTTTTTGGTGAGCTAGAAAACCGAGTATATAGAGAAGTTTCGGCTTCCAAACCGGGTGTGTTGATAGTGGAGTTCTCCCCTGGAGTGGGGAGTGGAGACGTAGGATGGAAGGTCCGAACTCTGTGATCATATTATTGTGTTTGGATTGCTCTTTGTGTCCACTATTTGTTTATATTGTTTCTTGTTTACTTTGTGTCCACTATTTGTTTATATTGTTTCTTGTTTATTTTCCTCTTTGCATATATATCCTTGCATATATCTTATTGAATATCATCATTGTTAGGATATATTGTTAATTAATTTTAATCGATATTAATATCTAATAAGATTAGCAATAACCCTATTCACCCCTCCTCTAGGGTACTTTCAGGATGTTCTATCAAAAGCTATGGGCTAATTGCATATTATTTTTCGTCGGTACTCTCGTGGATTAATTTTAGTAACTCGGTATAATTCCTTAATCAAGTCATAGTAACTACATGATTTCGAGATCATTCATGGCGTCCATACCTCTCCAACGTACATCGACATATTATTCATTCCATAATTAATTTTCCCACCGTAGGAACAAGCAATAAAAACCATATTATTCAATCTCTGATACCAAGCTCTGATACCAATTGTTAAACCCTAAAGGGGGGGGGGGGGGGTTGGGGTCTTATGCTAATCTAATCCGATTATATGCCAATAAAAATTAATTAATGAGTTATCCTAGCAAATATAAAATATAACAACTATATAAGCTAGGATAAGCAATATGAACAATGAGATATATCCTATATGATGAATATATATATGCAAGGATATATAAACTAACACAAGATGATATATCCTATCAAAGAGATATACAATATGATATATGTATATGCAAGGATATAAAACTAACACAATGGGTAAACAATATGAACTAGATAGTGTGTCACGCCCCGCTTCCCAAAATACATGGGAATCGGAACATGAACAAGCCCGCAACGTATTAGATTGAGAAGAAATATACACTATTTTTTTTCTTTTTCTTTTCTTCTCAATCCAATACGCTAAGCGTCTGGAAATAAATACAATGCGAAGTCACAGGTTCCCGATCACAATCAGCAAGAATATAATAGACAAACTCAGAATAAAAGATCATATCACAAATAGGATAACATCCGAGACATAATATTCGGGTCAACCATGCCCTTATACAAACTGAACAAATGAATACTGAAGAGATACAAAATACATCGATCAATAGAAAAAGAAAGAACTATAAAATTAAACAAGGACCAGCATATAATAAAAGAGACGACTAGACTTCGGCTTCTTCTTCTGCTCTATCTGCAAGGCACTCCTGCTGAGAATCCTCTGGCTCCTGATGATCTCCCAGCTGAACATGTTCTTCCTCTAAGTCTGACGTACACCAGAGAAAACATGTGTACGTCAGCGTGTATGGCACACGGCAAGACCCGACCCCACAAAGAAAATAGAACGAACGGAAATCCAATGCGAAAAACGATACGATAACAGAAACAACAAAAGAACGTACAACTGAATGATAACATAAAGCATCCAAAATCGATCAGGTAACGAGGTCATGCAGCTAGCGATCAGTCTAATCATCCGAGCAACAAGATCATACAATAGATGGAATTAATACTTAAAAATCTACAACATGAGACGTAGTACGTCGAACGAAATAATCCAAACAAGGAAACTCTCATGTATATACCATATGTCTCAAATTATAGATAATTAAATATTAACTCCGATCTATGCATGAAAAGAACACAACTGACCTACATCTCACAAGAATCCATAATTATCTAAATAACGAGGTCATGTAACTAGCCATCCTAAAACTCACTGGTCCACATCTCACATAAAGTCAACATTCATATCACCGGATAACTGACTGTTCACAAATCCTCTACGCCCATTCCACCTTTTTAAAATAGTCGGGGTTGGCAACCCCGACTATTTAGTGACGGGATTAAAAAAAAATCGACCCGCTTCTCGGCCACGTTGCTGACGTGACCGAGAAGTGGGTCGATTCCGCTAAATGGATTAAAAAAAAATCGACCCGCTTCTCGGCCACGTTGCTGATGTGGCCGAGAAGTGGGTCGATTCCGCTAAATAAAAAAGGAGTCGGTCGATTTCGGTAAAAAAAGTTGAAATGGGTTTAAAACAAAAATTTGTTCCTATTCTCACGTGTTACCACTTAGCAAATCACGGCTAATGTAGGAGATAAATGTAATTCCAAACAAATATCTCAACATGTTTTTATTTTTTATTTTTTATTTTTGGGGTTAAAAGTATAATTATATCCCAAGACTCTTATCTCCTTCCCAGTTCTTCTTTGTGAGGCTCTCCGTTCCTCCTCTCTCGCCCCAAAACCCAATCCAAAACCCCTTGTAAAGCCACACAACAATCCCAAACCCCTCAAAAGTCCCATTTTTGCTCTAATCTTAAAACCCTTGAACTTCGTTACCCCAAATTCCCAGTTTCCAATGCAAATGGATTCAGAAGCCAAGGTCACTGCTAACTCCGTCTCAATCTCTCAATCCAAAGAGAACGGAGGCGGCGATTTGTCATCTCATCTGGAGACTCCGGTTGTTGTCGAGGATGATTACGAGACTGCATCGGAGTCCGAGGATTTGAATGGGAAAAACCCTTTGCCCGCGGTTGAGAGGGGTGGAAGCCCTAATCTTGATGAGGCTAAGAAGAGCTCGCCTGCGGTTGAGGATGGGGTTTCTGAAGTCGTAGAGGATAAAGTTGAGGGGGAATTGAATCAAGAAGTACGAAATTCTGATGGTGGAGGTGAAAAAGGCGAGGTTTTTAGTGGTGGGTCGAATGCAGAAGAGGTGAATTCTGCAGTTCAAGAGGAGGAGGAGGTGAAGGGTGAGAGTTTTGTTGCTGGAGCTGAGGGGAATGATTTGGGTGCTGCTGAAGATGAGAAGAATTATGGGAATTTGGTGGAGAATACAAAATTGAAATCTGTTGAGGATGAGAATGAGGCTGGGATGGGGAATAATTCGGTGGAGAGTACAAACTTAAAACCTGTTGAGGTTGAGGCTGAGGCTGGCTCAGAGAAGAATGGGGAGCCGGCAGCTGCTCAACATGAGAAAAAAGACGAGGGCTTGGATGGAAACAGAGAATTTGAAGCAGTAACAGCCACAAGTCGTGTTGGTTCTATTCAAGAACCTGAAGAGGAAACTGATTCAAAGCCTTCTGTTGAAACAGAGAGAGATGTTGACGTTGATTTAGTTGGTTCTGATCAAAATCTTGAAGAAGCAGCAGAGGCTTTGAAGCCTGTAGAAGTTGAAATCAATGCTGCAGATACCGATATGGTGGAGTCTAATGCTGCAGAGAAAGAGGAAATGAATGCTGCTGTGCCTGAGAAAGACACTGAAGTTATTAACAAAGAGGAAGTGAATTCTGCTTTGGCTCAGAATGAAACTGAGATTGTTGATGGGTCAGTGGAGTCTAAGGTTGCAGAGGCTGTTGTGGCCGAAAACCTTGAAGATACTGATAGTCTCGCCATGAGTCAAGAAGTTCATGCTGCGACCGAGTCAAAGGATGTGCAGAAGGAGACCGTACATACTGAGGCCGACAAGAATGAAGCTGATGATGCAACCGGTTCACAGGGAAGCATTGACCTGGTAAATGTTTCTATTTTAAGATTAAGAATATTTGAATTCCATTGATAACTATGTTGGTTTATGCTCTTCACAACAAAGCCTTAATCCCAAAATTTTGGGGTCAGCTACATTAATCCATTTCTTTCATTAATTTTCAGTTTGGTTTATCTCCTTCGTTAACTTAATTACTATCATATCCTTCGTAATTGTCTCCGACTAAGTTCTCTTTGATATTCCTATGGTCATATGTTAGTTTATGCTTCCATTAAGATCAAAATTTTTTGAAGAAAAAACAAGATGTTTCTTTCGTCCTTTCAGGGTGATTGGAAAATAAAGAAATGGTTGATATATTCAAGATAAGTTCGTGTTTATAAAATAGTATCTCAATTCATTTTATATCATCAGATCCGGGATGCAATATGGTTCTGACTTTTGAAGGATGAACCAGCTATGGACAGTTCCAATAAGATTTTGTTCTTGAACAAAATCCTTGGATTTATTTCATCTATTCCATGACATATATGTTTAGATTGCTAAGAATTTTGCAACCGAGTTTGATACTGCAAATCATAGACTGACTGATAATTTTACTATTTTTTCTGACAGAAAACTGAGGAGGAAAAGGGTGTATCTACTTCAGATCAAGTTTCAACTGATTTAGAAGCAAAACCCAGTGATGGTGGTAGGGATTTAGACCTGCACAAGGATGTTGAACCTTCACCTGCCCCTGTAGAAGATTCTAAAAGCAAGGAGACAGAAATACAACCTTTAGAAAATTCAGGTATAACGGAGAGCGGGACTTCCTGTGAAATATCTGTTGGAAGCGTGCTGCCTGTTTCTGTTCATGGTGAGAAAGTAGAGCCTGAAAACAATGGCCTTCATGTAGATGATGATGATGAAAACCCTATTCAGAACGAGGCAGAAGAGGAAGAGGAGGATGGTGATGTTACTGACCAGCAACCTAGGGTTGCAATATTGGATAGCTCTGAAACTGCGAAACAAATTATAAAAGAAATGGAGGGAGGGTCTTCAGCCACCAGTTTTGAGAGCTCTAACAGTTACCGACATGAAATGGAAGGGCAGATTGTTTCTGATTCTGATGAAGAAGTGGACACTGACGAGGAGGGCGGTGAAAAGGAGTTATTCGACTCTGCTGCCTTGGCTGCTTTGTTGAAGGCAGCAACTGGTGGTTCTTCTGAGGGAAATTTTACCATATCTTCTCAAGATGGCACTCAAGTTTTCTCCATGGACCGACCAGCTGGATTGGGTTCCTCTGCTGCAGCTTTGCGGCCAGCTCCTGGCCGGTCTGCTCGACCTACACTTTTCAGTCCCTCAGAGCTGGCGGTAACCGCAGAGCCCGAGAATGAAATGACTGAAGAAGAGAAGAAACTGCATGAGAAGGTTGAGGACATTAGAGTGAAGTTTCTTCGTCTCATTATGAGGTTAGGTCATACATCTGAAGATACTGTAGCTGCTCAGGTTCTATATCGCCTAAATCTTGCTGAAGGGATCAGAAGAGGGAGGCAAATGGGCCGGTCTTTTAGCATTGAGGCTGCTAAGAGAAAGGCCGTGCAACTCGAAGAGGAGGGTGAAGAGGATTTGAAGTTCTCTTGTAACATTCTCATCCTTGGGAAGACTGGCGTGGGCAAGAGCGCAACCATAAATTCCATCTTCGGTGAAGAGAAGTCTCATACAAATGCTTTCCAAGCAGCAACAACTTCAGTTAGAGAGATTTCTGGTGTTGTGGATGGGGTTAAAGTTCGAGTTATAGACACCCCTGGTCTTAGATCCTCAGCAATGGAGCAAGCAACAAATAGAAGAATTTTATCATCCATAAAGAAGTATACTAAGAAATGCCCTCCAGATATTGTTCTCTATGTCGATCGGCTTGATACCCAGACTCGTGATTTTAACGATTTGCCTCTGTTGAGGTCCATTACTGGTGCCTTGGGTTCTTCTATTTGGTTCAATGCCATAGTTGCTCTGACCCATGCTGCTTCTGCTCCACCGGAAGGGCCCAATGGTTCTCCTTTGAGCTATGAGGTGTTCATAGCTCAGAGATCTCACGTTGTTCAGCATTCAATTCGACAAGCTGCTGGTGACATGAGGCTGATGAACCCGGTGGCTCTAGCTGAGAACCACCCTTCATGTAGGAGGAACAGAGAAGGGCAGAGGGTGCTTCCCAATGGCCAAAGCTGGAGGCCTCAGCTGCTGCTATTGTGCTATTCCTCAAAGATTCTCGCCGAGGCTAATTCCCTTTTGAAGCTTCAAGATCCTAGCCCTGGAAAGCTCTTTGGATTCCGCCTCCGCTCCCCACCCCTCCCTTACTTGTTGTCAACCCTACTGCAGTCCAGAACTCATCCAAAGCTTCCCAGTGACCAGGGCGGTGATGATGGAGATTCTGACATAGACCTGGATGACTTTTCTGATGCAGAAGATGGAGAGGAGGATGAATATGATCAGCTTCCTCCTTTTAAGCCTCTTAAGAAATCCCAGCTTGCCAAACTTACCAAGGAGCAAAAAAGGGCCTACTTTGATGAATATGATTATCGAGTTAAACTTCTTCAGAAGAAACAGTTTAAGGAGGAGATTAGGAGGTTGAAGGAGATGAAGAAGAGAGGGAAAAGCGGCAGGGAAGAGTCACCCTATGGGGACATGGGTGAAGATTTTGATCAGGATGGTGCACCAGCTGCAGTGCCTGTTCCTTTACCTGACATGGTATTGCCGCCTTCCTTTGACTGTGATCTTCCTAGCTATCGGTACCGTTTCTTGGAGCCAACTTCGCAGCTTCTGACAAGGCCTGTACTGGATTCCCACGGCTGGGACCATGATTGTGGCTATGATGGTGTTAGCCTTGAGGAGAGTCTTGCTGTTGCTAACCGGTTTCCTGCAGCAGTTGCAGTTCAAATCACAAAAGACAAAAAGGATTTCAACATTCATTTGGATTCTTCCATTTCAGCCAAACATGGGGAGAATGGTTCTTCTCTTGCTGGCTTTGACATCCAGTCCATTGGGAAACAGCTTGCTTACATTCTCCGTGGTGAGACCAAGTTCAGGAACTTGAAGAAAAACAAGACGGCGGCTGGAATATCTGTGACTTTCCTAGGTGACACTGTGGCAACTGGATTGAAAGTTGAGGACCAGCTTATGATTGGAAAGAGGGTAGCTCTGGTGGCTAGCACAGGTACAATCCGAGCCCAAGGTGATGTAGCATATGGAGCTAATTTGGAAGCACGTCTTAGAGAGAAGGATTATCCCATTGGCCAATCACTTTCCACATTGGGGCTCTCGCTGATGAAGTGGCGTGGTGACTTGGCTTTAGGTGCTAATTTGCAGTCTCAGGTGAATATTGGAAGGAACTCAAAGGTGGCAGTTCGTGTTGGCCTTAACAACAAGCGCAGCGGGCAGATCACGATCCGGACAAGCTCCTCAGATCATCTTCAGCTTGCACTTGTTGGGATCATTCCAGTTGCTCTTTCTGTCTTCAGGAACATCTGGCCGGGTGAGTCTGAATTCGCTCACTAGATTTAGTTTCAGAGCTATCATTAGTTAGACTGTGAGAGGATGACGGAGTTAGGGTTTCTTGAATCAGAGCATAGTTCGGTATCAAAGTCTTTATTATATTTCAATAATGAACGCCTATTTTGAATTTTGAACTCTATTTGAGCAGTTGAATTTGGTCGATTGATATTGTTCTCGGATTATAAGACTTTTGGTGCATAAAATGGTGGGCAAAAAGTTATACACTTCTGTCAATTTTCATTTATATGTTCGAGCATACGTATCTCTACATTTTTAATTCTCCAATGTGGCTATTATCAATGCTTTGATCATTATCTCTAATTCTCTACCTTCTACTACCAAAATTTTCTGGCTTCTACTGCACAAAACTCCTTGTAGAGGAAAGCTCTATCCCTTACACTAATAACAAACCGTCAGGCTCAGGCATAACTAAGAAAATGCCTGCCTTAAATATTCTTTCTGTAATGTGTTTAATCAGTATGGCTGGTGTGATATATGCTGTTGCTTTGATTTCCTTCAAGACAACCACTTCATGGTTGCTAGACTATAAAATTATAATCTCAACCCTCACCACTACTTAGGAGCTCTGGTACAGTGGATGAGACCTTTGAAGTGGTGTCCGAGCAATTAGGTTCAAATCCCATCTGATTCATGTTAAAAACGGATTTAAAAACTGTAGCGTTGCATAAAATTGTCCAGGTTTTAGCCCATAAAAAAGAATGTTCAAACATGTGGTGGCAAGCTTGAATATAAATAGAAAAATTCTAACCTCAACAACTTTGGATTTCTGATGTAGGGTGGAAGAGACCTTTAATAATACTCATTGTTCTGTTCTCTGCTACAAGTTAAACGCCGTTATTGCTTTAACCTTTCATACCACAGGTTTTTTTTAGTATCTACTTCAGCTAACTTTCAGGCATGAAGCTCTTGTGCATGATATACTTGAAACGAAATCACAATATGTATTAGTTTATGAATGGTTTTATTGTTGTCCTTGTGTTGCCCTTTTCCTTTGTTTCACTTTGAAGACACTTAGATTAATAGGGTGATGCATCCTCAGTCTTCACCTATGAGAGAGAGGTCTCTCAATTTCTTTTTCTCATACTCAGTGTTGAACCCAGAGATACTCTCACTTCGGCTTGTCTCCAAGGCAATATTTGATCTATGTCAATACCGAGCTTCTTCTTGCACGTTTTTCACCCTGCCAAAATTTTCATCATGATATCTCATGGTTACCTATTGGATAAATAAAACTTTGAATAAGGTACGAGTGCCCAAAGCATTGTATTATGTGCATATCAGGCTCGATCGTTCGTTTCAATGAAAAGGGACAACATCGACATTTGTCATCCTACATTATTTGTAAGACCTTACATCTCCAAATCTCCCGTCACTGGCACAAACTACAGTTTCTGAACTGCTTTGGGTCTTTAAACTGGTGAATTGATGGATTGCATTATAACAGCATGTTCTAGTTAACGCGGAACTCTGCTACAGATTTTTATGACATAGTTTTCTTTCTTTCTTTATTTTTTCTGGACCTGAGGAAGCTATTCATGACCTTGGGAGAATTCTACCCAAAATTATTGGTCCAGAAACTTAACAAATATTTCATGTGTTTGTTATTCTTTTTCTTGTAGCATTTGTTCCTTATGATTTATTTTTTGGATTAATTATATTCTGGTACCCCAAGATATCCTATGAAAGTCTCTCTCTCTCCCCTTCCCCCTCTCTACGATTATGCAACGTTCTGGCAGTGGTTTGTTACTCTGTTGTGTAAACTTCGACTCTTCTTTTCGGTACTGAAATACCACTTGTTACAACCTCTATCCTTTGCTTCTACACGCACACAAAACATTAGTTTGATTACAACAGTCCTTACGATCTTCTCCTTTGCCGACTGAGTGAATGACCTCAGCGTTCAAACTTGGCGTGCGTAACGACACCCCTGGTGAAATTGTTTAAGGTTTTCAATTTTCTCAGATCACCGGAGTACTTTGAAATCACGTTGTGATGTTCTGGGGATCACCATGCTTTCTTGTGTACAATTCACATGCAAAATACCTGTATGCCGCATGAGTATCTAGTATTTGTTTACACGGATTCAACAATGTTCACCTTTTATGCTTGTGCAGAAGCTGTTTGAAAGCCTTAGGCTTTTGATATCATGATCTGAGTGTTTGAAATATTTGGCTTGTGCTGCTTGGGTTCAAGTTGCTCGCGTTTCCTTGGTTTATAGACTCATTGTTTGCCCTGTGGGGTCTTTGTTTGGAGCCATCATGAAGTTTGCTTTGCAAACATCTGAGATGAAATCTTGTCAGGAAGTTCACTATCAGCTGAAAGCACATTCCATTATATACGGAAGGGCTATCTGTGCTTAATACACTTAAAAGTTTCTGCTCTTGTAACTTTGATACCTTGAAGTTCAATTTTTGATGATTTGATACCCCCCTTGATCAGCCAAAGCGACCCGCCCCCCCCCCCCCGCCCCCAAACAAAAAAGACCATAATTTTGCTCCGAGAATATCACAATGCTAATGTATTAGGCAATAATACTCTTATCAATTATCAATATTGAAAGTTTAGGGCAAAATGTAGAAACTAGCTCAAAATTGCAAATAAACGTGATCATTATAAAACTTTGCGTGCAAAATTGCAAAAACAGAACTGAGGGTCAATAGCTTTCGCAGTACCAAGGTAACTTGGGCGCTTGAAGTCCAAATGAGCCGCCTGCTTGCTTGTTAGTCTTTTTTGGACCGTTGTTTTTATGTGATTAAAACCTGAACTGTTTAAATCATAGAATGCAATAAAAGCTTATCTGTCACGGCATCAATTGCTTCCTTCACTCGGAAAGTAACAACCATTATCTCATCAATACCAATTCCAAGGAACTCTAGAGTGCTTAATTCTGGCGTAAATTTGCCATGATCCTTCAAATGCACCATGTAAGCAAAAGGAGGCTTACGGTGTTCACTTCTGCATATAGGGCCTGGTCTTGGTTTTTCCTAAAAACCATAATAGAATAAACGCAAGAAAATTTAAAAAGTATAACAATTCATTCATTTACATCCTAAAATCCACCGCACAACATCTATAATATTTTATCTAACCATCATGCAACATATATAATAAATAAATTATTTCATGCCAACACCTATCCACACAGTTCCCGACATCTATAAAATATTATCTTTATCTCACACAACTCAATTCACCAATCTAATAAAATTTATTTTGCATCCACACACAATCACTCATCCCATTCATCATTTTAACTATCCCATAATCCACTACATGGTGACACTCATATCATCTCATTACTCATTCATTCATCCATTTCTCCAAAAAAGCTAGAAACAATTTCCCCTTAAGTGTGTATCACATCATCCAAAATAATAATAACATTCACAACTCTCTATTTTCTATTTTTAGAATGAACAAAAAGAAAAAACTATAAAGAAATATGGTTTTATAATTATCCTCGCTTAATTTTTTCGCTAACGCAAACAAATAAAACAAGTTTTCTAAAAAATACTCACATTACTCTATAATAAGGGACAACTCATTTCATCCATCCCATTTATATTGCCGATTTTCTTTCTCTCTTTTAGCAAATCAAACTCGTCCCAACAATTCTTCTTAGAATAGTTTTCCATTTCTTGATTTCCACTTCTTTAGGCAACAAACACCCATAATGAAAAAAGTAATGAAAGTAAAAGTGATTGTTTTAATATTTTATTATCTGTTTACATCAATATAATATGATGTGAATGTAAAAAACTTGCCGCAAAGATTTAATACAATTTTAACTTCTTCTAAAAAAGCGTTGAACCCACATGGAAAGCAACAAAAAGCTGGCAACCATTTAATTAAATAATTATTAAATATAATTAATTAATTTAATCTCTAATTTAGCCTCATCAGCGTCCGTTACAATTTCCATACTAGTAATTTATTTTCAACTAACCTATATTTCACTTCATACTAATGTGGATAGTAAAAATTCATTTGAAAAAAGAAAAAGTAAATATACTTATTTTAATTTACTTTCGATTGCAAAAGACCGCTTAGTCGGCATAATGTTTATGCGTACGGTAATTGCACAAACTTCCTTTTAGTATTATTGTTTTGCAGCGTACCACCCGATAGTTACCATTGTCTGCGAAAATCCTCTGTTAGCATTTGTAATTCTTACTGCTGGAATTTTGCACATATTGGCCCTAGTGTAATAAGAACCTATAAGCACACAGGGCTTTAAGCTTTTATTATTGATTATACCCATGATGTTTATCTTGCCAGTAGTGACAATAAGGACCCAAAATGATTATCTTCTCTTGAAAGTATTGAGCAATTTTGTCGCTATTTACCCGTTAATACTATTAATCTTACCCCTGGCTTCCACCCCCTTTGTTTTTTTTTTGTCCATTGTTTGTGTTTGGTTTCTGTTCAGGTTCCACCCCAGTATTACAATTGTGATATTTTATGAGTGTAAACTCAAAATTATTAGAGATTAAGTTTATGTGATAAATTTTTTGGTTATATTTCTTATATTTTGTACTTTAAAAACAAATTTAATAAAAATGAGTAAGCAATTTAATTCATAAAAGAGTAAGAATAAAAACTTTAGGAAAAGTTATATTAATTTTTGTAGTTTGGGGAAAAGGTGAAACTGAATAAAACACATGAAAATAATACCCAAAAATTTAAGTCATGATTTGTAATATTTAAGTAGACCAAAAGTGAGAATGCATAATATATGTTTGAGGGGCAAATAGTATAAACCAAATACTTGAGAGGAACTTGAGATGTTAATCAATACGTTAAGGAAAAAATATCATTTTCTTGAAAATAAATAAATCTAAATATATATTATAAAGAATAACAAAATTTTACAAAAAATAACTAATTTTGCATTGGAGTGGAATGTTTTCTAAAATGTTATGGTGTCCACTCACTGAAATAGTAGTGTATGGCAAGCGATCGATTAGTTTATTTTCTTATATGCGGTAACAGGTTCGATTGGCCAATAGCTGGTTCGCCAATTTTCGGTCTCAGTCGTCAGATGGAGGTTGCGAGGCATAAGATGATTTTTTCAGACTCATCGAGTCGACATTTTCCTCATGACGAACGAAAGGCAGAGTTAGTCGACCCCTCTGTCAGACCGAATCGAAGGTCCGCCTCGACCACTCGTCCAAGCTCACGGAGACGGCGCTCGAAAGTCATTCCTTATTGCGAGGCTATTTT